TCCCTTTTCGTTTTGTTATTATTATTATTATTATTATTACAACCTACGCCGCTTCTCTCAAACCTTACGAAACGCCCTGAGAAGAGTAGTTATCAAAAATAATTACAGATTAATTAGATCCAATCACTTCACATCACGTAAAAAACAAACTCGTATATTTCAAATTCCGAAAATTTCAGGTTAGAACTCTCACATTTTTGCCACAATACTAACGTGCCGCTTTTGTTACAAGAGAATAACACAACGCGCCGATGAAACGAAATCTGATAAAACACACTTAAGAAATATCGAAGATAATATTGGTAATCCAGGTGAATAATATCAATTTCTTAAAGGCAAGGCGGTCCTGTGTGTAAGCGGCCTCTGCGTTCTGAAAAAGAGGGAAGAATCGTAGTATTAAAAAATATGAGCTTCTAAAGGGTTAAATAATGTGTATAATTTGTGGTTTGAGATAAATGACTGACACCAATTACTTTATCTTACATGAATATATTGTTGCAAATTCCTTCTTGCAACAGCGTGGCACAGGTAAGAGAAAGATGGCAATATTCCATCCCATGTACCTTTATTTCATTCTAAATATCACGGCGCCACAACGAGAGTCAAAGGCAGTCCTGGTCACAAACATTCATAATATCCGTCTTTCTGCAGTTAATAACTAAGACACAACACTCATCTACGTAGCCGATGCAGCACGACACTCGGAAGGTGGCATGAGGCGGGTTAGGGCGTGACACTCCCTCACGTGCGCTGAAAAATGCAGTCTTTTCAGCACAGAATCCCTGCACGAGGTCTGTCTTCATTCGTCTTCCCTCGATTCCCCCTTCCTTCGCGCTTCTTTTTTTCCCGCCAAAAAAACAAAACAAAAAAACAAAAACACGTGCACGTCGCGATGCGCAAACAGCGTTCACAGTAATATAAATCATTTTACGATGAAACAAAACAAAACAAAAAAAAATCTCACGCTGACAAAGGATATGTTCACTACAACAGGATGCTTTATATGCACCCAGCAACCGTGTATAATTTCACTGACATATCCACTCTCCACTAAAATCTGAGATTCCGTGACCACTTAACTGCCTAGAATCCGAAAAAAATCCGCTATCCACTGAAATTTCAGAGCCGAAAATTCTGTTTTACTTTGAAATCTCAACTAGAATACAAGAAACAAATACTGTTCAGTGAAATCCCAAAGAAAGTCCGAAAAAAAAATCTGCTATCCACTGAAATATCAGTTAGATTTTTTTTAAATCGAATATTATCTGAAATATCAAATAGAAATCTGTAAAAACTGCTAACCACTGAAATATCTAATAAAATCGGAAAAAAAACTGCAATTCATTAGAATTTCAAAATAGCAGAAAAATCTATTATAACCTGAAATTTGTTACTGAATTCTCATTTGAAATCCAAAAAATCTAACCCCTGAAACCTTCAAGAAAATCCGAAAAATCTGTTATCCTCGAAACTATCAAAGATATACCTATAAACCAAATAAAATACTAAAACCTCAAAGAAAAACAGAAAAAAAATAGCTAACAGAAAATTCTACTAAAATCCGGCATGTGTATTGTGCGACCCAACGAAATTTCCACAAAAATCTGTTGTCTTCAGAAAATTCCACGAATGTTCATTATTTACTACTCACATTCCTTGTTTAATGAGCCAGTTTTCGTGTTAATCTATTTTATTTTAACTAAGTCAATTTATTGTTGGTTCTGTCTGCGTTCTTATGCACACTGTATGTTTATTAAGATCAAATTACTGGCTTTGTTTCTCTATTTAATAAACTTGGAATTGCAATGGAAATATTTCGTAAACAAACATTGGTGAAACAAGATTACAATTATCCACTTTAATATATACAGCACTGGCATTTTTTTTTTCCCATACTTGTCAAATTCTGTATCAAAATAAAACAGCCTTTTCATTACAGTTACTTCTCAGATACATTCCCAACTGTGTAAATTTGTAAATGAAACAACAAAGGTAATAAAAGAAAAGATTATGCATCTGCCAAAGGAATTCTCTTTATATTGCTTCTCGAGGGCCATTTTCAGAAATAGCAATTTAGCAAAAAGAGTTTCGGCATATTTGCGTGTTTTCTTTCCTTCTTTGTTCCATCTGCAATTTGTTTCGAGTGGATCCTTCACGTGTGTGTATGTGTGTGTGTGTGTGTGTGTGTGTGTGTGTGTGTGTGTGTGTGTGTGTGTGTGTGTGTGTGTGTGTGTGTGTGTGTGTGTGTGTGTGTGTGTGTGTGTGTGTGTGTGTGCACAATACAGCATGCTAGGTTACATCTTAAAAGGGTGTGAAATTACTCTTAAGATATGGTAGACAACACTAATTGTCCCCTGCATTTCGCGAGAAATACTTACCCTGACAGTTTTGCACATATTTGCAACACTGATTAAATGAAAGCCACAACTTTTGAAATATTAATTGAAATGAGATTGATCTATATCTTACTTTCTAAGCAGTATAAGTACGAGTATTATTAATGGCACTAGTGGTTACGAAGCTAAGTGAAATAAATATAAACAATTTACTAACATGTCAGGAAAGGAAAAAGCATTATCAGCAATGTGAACGCTTTCCAGTTATTCTGATGCAAGTACGGTAGAGCTTCACCTAAAGAAAAAAATAAATCTGTTCTATGATGTATAGAGGGATATAATCACAGCCCAATCCTATCATAGGCCTATATGAAAATCAACCGGGGACATGGTAGGAGTTGGTAAGGATATAAAGAGCGGGACTTTTAATTCACTTTTAATTCTTCTAAAACAATACTCCGAAAAAATAAATCTGTAGAGCAGCCACCCGATTTATGTGGTGCTATTCCTATGGTTGTAAGTAAAAATGCTTTTAACACTGAAAATCTGGACCAACAACAACAAGGAACACTGGTTTTAGGTTAAAAGGAATCGCAGGGCGCTTAAATCTTACCGCCAAAATACATATCACAGAGTTAATAAAATATAAGAATAGGTAGCATGAAGATAATAAAAAATGGGAATACGTTGCACTGAGGTAATAAAAGATAGGAAGCACGAAGATTATAAAAGACGAATCATTGAGATATTTGACCGTCATGAGGGGGGGGGGTCGCTTCCCATGCAATGAGGCTGATATTCGGTGAAGATGATGCACTTTTATCAGCTGTTTTCATTCATACGCTGGAGTCAGTTACTTGAAAAGAGGATTTCATAATATCCGGATATAATCCTCCACCTTAGCCCCATATGCTGATAATTCGTACAGTGTATAGCAACAGACTGTTCGTGGAATTTCGAAAATGGCGCGAAAACACATCATGACCCATTTTCTTTGGAAGATTCAACCGAAAATGTCAGTCCTCCAAAAGAGAGAGAAATAATACTTGTTACAACGACCGACGTCAAACAAGTAACTTACATCAGTAATCAAAGAGGCAAAAGAAAATTACAAGAAAAAAAAATTGGTGAGGCTTAGTGAAAGAACATTGACCTCTCTCACTGCTTCCTTTCCAGACGCGCTTCCCAAAACTTAAAGCTAAGTTGAAGACAAAATTGATAACTGGCTAATGGAACAAACCAAATAAATAAATAAATAAAGCATTAGACATATAAAACGGCGGCAGAGGCATATGCGGTCTCTAACGGCATTCACCCCCGGACTTCAGCTTTCATAAACCTTACTAATTAGCAGAGTTTCAGATTTGGGACAGGACATCAAGAGAAAGTCATAAGAATTGTTCGCCTGTGCTCTGTCTCTCTGTCTGATGGTCTGTGTGTCTGACAGTCTGTGTGTCTCTGTCCGTCGCTCTCTCTTCTTCTTTTTTTTTCTCTCTCTCTCTCCTTTCTTTTTTCTCTCTCTCTTCTTTCTTTTTTTCTTTCTCTCTCTCTCTCTTCCCCCCCCCCCACCCCTATTTCTCCCTTCCTCGCCCTCCTTTATTTCTCCATTCCTGGCTCTCCCATTTCTCTCCCTCTTCCTCCCCCTATCATTCTCACTCTCTCACCCCCCTATCACTCACTTACTCTCTCACTCTCTCTCTATCTATCTATCTGTCTCTCCTATTTCTTCCTTCCTCGCCCTCCCCTATCTCTCCCTTTCCCTCCCTCTCTCTCACTCTCCCTTCTCCTATATATCTCTCTCTCTCCACCTATCACTCACTCTCTCTCCCAAAAATTAACGCTCATGAGAGACATGTCATTACACCCGAGTGGGATGAATATTACAGACACAATCACATAAAGAACATCAATAAAAACCGTAAACTAAACATCAGCTCAAACAGATCAAATTGCTCGTCAAGATGTGATAAATGGCCTTGCCCGAACAGTTTGAAATTTGTGTCAACGGTATCGAAACATCAACCAGAGCGGAAATAATAATAATAATAATAGGCGATCATACCTCAGCCTTCACATAAACCATTACATTTAGCACGTTTATTTGTATAAACCATTAATCACTAAACCACCACAGGAAGTTGATGCACAAGAATCAGGCGCACCGAACTGGTTAACGACCCTAACAATCAATATCATGGACCTCGCTCTTTCCGTAATGGAATTCGGCGATGCTTTAGCCTTACGGGAGGGTAGGTTAGCGGTAGATTTACCAACCGAGTGCCATTGTGGTTCTTCCTCTGATGGCGTTTATGAAAAGGAAGTTCAAGAAAAGGTGGTTTTGTATTCGTTATAATAGAGAGAGTGATGTCACAACCAAAATAGAGCTAGAAAACTCATGACGTTACGGTACAACTTTCTCTCTCTCTCTCTCTCTCTCTCTCACACACACACACACACACACACACACACACACACACACACACACACATACACATACACATACACATACACATACACATACATACACACACACACACACACACACACACACACACACACACACACACACATATATATATATATATATAATATATATATATATATATGGATTGGCTATCTACAGCTAAATCAAATGAGGCTAGAGTCAAAGTGTTTGAGGATTCT